AGTCATTTTAGATCAATAATATAATAAATTAAAATGTGTAAATTATGACATAATCATCCATGGGTGTCAAAGATTATAACCATATAACAGACACAAGTACAATAGGTCTTCTTTACCAGCTAGATCACCAATATACGCTTAGCACATGGGTCTGGAGTATAAAAAATACAAAAAAAGCAATCTAAATATTGATCATCTGTATTCTCCAGAAAAAAAAAAATCTGAATTTATTTTTAAACAACACAACAGACTAAAAAACAGCCCATCCACAACAAATGTTAACTAAAGCACAACACCAAAAAACCCAAACAAAGCTAGAAGTGTGCAACAGGTATTGTTCCACTGAAAGTTAATGAAACACCTTTGAGCCATAGAAGCCCCGGCGATGTAAAGATAAGTGCTGTGGAAATGTTAGATTAGATGAACAGTCTAATCCATGGCTGAGACTGAACGCAGCAAAGAGCAGAATGTGCAGCAGAAGCGCACGCCATGCACTGACACAGGGCAATTCTCCGGGGTTTTGCATTAACGTGGTAAATTAAAGGGGGTATTAGATTAAATTGGCTCTCCGATTTCAGGAGAGTGAGTAAAATTCTGATTTGCATTTTCCGCCGCTGCTTAAGATATAATTAGTTCAGGGTGATTCCCATGTGGATCACAGTGACAGCAAAGTCTAAGTGGTTGCCAGTAGCTTGGTTTGTTTCGGAGACAAAAACGCACCGAGCTACATTCACTGTGTCTTTAAATGTTTGGAAGTGAGATTTAGCACACCGTCCAAGGTAGTAGCCGCTCTTTCTAATCTCATTTCACTCTTTTAAAATCGCATGTAGACTTTAAACAGAAGGTAATGTGCAAAATCAGCATTTTGGAGCTTTTACCAGGATTCCTCCAGAGTTACACACAATACATGGCTCAAGATACGATGTTATCACGATACCCCTGATGACATAAATTGAAACAGCAGCCCATTACAATACTGTATCACCACATTTAGTATCATGATATTTCAATATTTTTGCACACCTCTAGTACCCAGGCTGGTGCCACCTAGTGCCTCCGCTCAGTTTCATTTCTCTCCAGCGACTAGGTCAGGAATCGGAATACACTAGAAAATTTGCAAGAACCCAGGAAGCTGTAGACCACACACCGGCCAATCAGTGAAGAGCTGTGAAGTGCCTGGGTCCCTTTTGTGGTACAGCACAAAGGTAAACAAAGCAGTCAAGATGGATGTAGACAAAACCATACATTTTGTTTTGGCAACGATTCCCGAGCTAGAGGATTTAAAGCCGTAACAAAGAGAATGTTTGGTGAATTTTTTCAAGAGGAAAGAGGTCATTGCCCTTCTTCCTACGGGATTTGAGGCATTACATACGTCACAACCAAATAACAGCCATTGGTTAAATAAAAAAAACAGTACCCGCCTACCGTCGAGCAAACAAATCCTAATGCCTCATCAAAAACATGCCTTCAGTGGTTTATATGTCATCCATGTATGTTTGAGTAATTTAGCACAATTTGAACCGTCCTTACAGTTATCTGATACAAAACAATACACTGCAGCCTCACAAACCTGGTGTAGTAGTTTATTTAACAGTACGCAAAACTGAAGGGAAACTAATAAAAACATGTCAATATATTGTTTTCGGCATTTAAAAAAAAGTAAAATACCTTGTTTTTACTATGGTGTGAAAAGCTTTGCCTTTTATTAGAGGTGGGCAATAATGACATAAACGAAAATCTTGATAATTTTTTAGCATATCCAGTATCCAGTAAAGCCAGTGTTCAGTGTAGATGGAATGAGATTACATGCCACAAGATCTCGCGAGACAAAATAACAAGATTGTGCACGCATGAGGAAAACCATCTTGTGAGATTTTTTGTATGTGTTTACATTTCGATTGGACTAAAAAGGGGTTAAGTCCTCATGAGTTTCATTTAAATCTTAAGATCCAAAAAGCAGTGCTACATTGATAATAAAATAATAAATACAGAAAATCAAAAATTAAAACAAAAATTGAACTGCACAATTTAATTACTCTAAATAATGTCAAAATCCTTTCATGTCACGTTCTCGCGGGCCCAGTCTCGTGTCTCTCCTCAGCCCTACTATTTCCTTTTTTCTGAAGTAAATTTCTCATGAATTTTTTTCCATAAGCTTTCCCAAAGAAAAAATAAATATTAAAAGTTTTAAAGCTTGCTCAAGCATAATCAACTACATAGTAACAAATGATCACAAACTCTAGTCATTTTATTTCAAATCTGTTTCTGAAACTTTATAAAGTTATTAAAACATTTCGCCAGTGAGTTTTAAATGTGTTTTTTGGTCTAAAAACAACTGTGTTACGGGGGATCATTTACAACGTAGCTAACCTTCACAATGTTTTTGCACTCTTAATATTTGAATTTTTGGAAATGTCTATGGGAAAAATGAATGAAAAATGTACTTTTGGAACCAGAACGAGCAGCCATAGCAGTAACTCAAACTGGTGCTAATATGTGCCAGTAAATGTCTTGGTTAGTAACATTATTCGGTTCATTCATAATCATAATTATTCAGGTAAAAACTAAAACTAAAAATCATAATTTAGTCCTTTCAAATACTGTCCAAAAAAGTAAACCTAAATGTAATGTTGTAATGTAATGTTACCTGTACTTGATCATTCAGAAATAGGGATGTAACAGTAACCGAAATATCGTAATATCGTATCATCAAAAGTCTCACAATAATATGTGGGCTGTCACAATATATCAAACCACAAGTTCTTCTGCTTAAATGCATGGTTTTATAATAACAACACCGAATAAACATCGGGAACTACATATCCCATGATTCATTTCAGCGCCAACAACATGAAGAAACATGTTTTTTACTTGAATTCTTGGGATTATGACGGTAATAATTCACACCAAAATCTTGTCAGGGTATTTTAAAAGCAAAAAAGTGTCCTATCTACAATTCTATTAGCCTTTCCAAAATATGGCAATAAATATCATACCGTGAGATGCACATCGTGATAATATCGTACTGAGAGATTTGGATATCGTTACATCCCAGTTCAGAAAGTTTGATTTCATTAAGCTGGTCACATATTAGATGTATGGTGAACTATTGAACAAGGTGAATGAAAGAAAATTACTTAGAGTTGTTTTGTTTATGGTGGTGATAATTGTGAATAATCGCACAATTTCAGCCTTTGTTCTCTCAAAAATTATAATATAAAATTTTATACTGATAGTCAAGCGGCCAAAAAAATGTATTTAACAAAAGTGCATTATTTAGAGGATTACATTGCACACTGATTTTGTTTTTACTTATGATACACTCTTTTTGCAGCCTTTTGATATATTTTAATCATAAATCATAAACTTGATATTCTAATTTTGCATACCTCGAAAACATGAATTGCAATATAATATGTTTATCGCCCACCTCTGCCTCTGAGTGTGCACACAGTATTCTATTTTGTATGAAACTTTACACCTATAGAAGCCCCTAAACCCAGAGCCGTTTCCGCAGCAGAGGGCGCACCTGTAATTACACATACAGAGTCAAAAATAACAATTACTTCAGGTGGAGCAGGACATAATATAAATTACAGAAGCCAGCAAAAGAGCCTTTAAAAGCATGTGTGGATTCGTTGGGGAGTTTTCACACCCTGAGTAATTTTAACTGTCTTAGCAAATGGATGTTTTCTAAAAGTGAGTCTACCCATGCATTATAAACGTAAGCTTCCTGGACACCTGTTTAGTTTGGACACCTGTATGTGCACAACAATAAACAAGCTTCCAGTTGCCTCATGTCCCACCGCTAATACACGATCAGTGACGTCATGGTAACACGTAGTCTGTATACAGTTTCATGAACACAGAGTCTTAATTTAATAAACTTTTTACCGGTTCCTCTGATGTGAAATAAGTATTGCCATTTGTGACTTAAAGTACAGTCAAATGAGGACAAAAACACAAACTGGTTTTAATTGTATGATCTCATGACATGAAGCAATGAACTCATTTAGATTTCTTACTGGATAATTCTGTTAAGAACCAGATGGAAAATGTTTACTTCAAATCTTGGGACACATATGAGTCTTATGAAATATAACAGTCACGGATTTGCATAATGACCCAATACTGACTGACTGAAAGAGCCTACCAGAAAACAGTTATCTACAGTTTGGACTGAGTAAGATTTCTTATAATTATCTTCCATTTCCACAAACAAAAATCACCAAAAATAACAATCCACCAGGTAAATGTTGCTGACCCAGCCACAGAAAACCAAACTATCTACAATAGTCAACTCCAAAACTGTATATCTTCATTCTCACCTTAAAACTCACTGAGAGTGACACCACCACAGCACCTGATCAACCCAGAATAAAACATTGAAGATTTGTTTATTGATCATGTATGGGCTCAGTGTGACACAGGCAGAGGTCCAGGGTAATGTGGGATTAATGTGATGATTTCATCTCAGTGCCTGATCACCTGGTAAATCAGAGAGCTGCCCCCTCCCTTAGCGGACCTGGGGCTGTTTAGAGCAACGCCATCAGCAGCCCTGCCATCACTCTCACCATCTTGTGGTGGTCAGAGGCTGAGGCTTTGTGGGATATTGATTCTCCCCATCCAGAGACGGTTTCCATAATTGGTTAAAATGACCGGGTGCAGAGAGGGATGGCTCTCTGCTGAAAACCATTTCCCAGCCCTGCTTGGAGCTGAGCCAAGCTCGGGGTTGTTCGGATGCGTTCCAGCCCCAGCCTGACTGGCAGCAATTAGGGGTGTCTGAGCCAAGCTCAGCTTGCGCTCCGCACAAACACCCCTAATTACTGCCAATTAGGCCGGGCGGGTAGGCAGATTTGAGAAGCCGGGGGGATGTTCAGGCATGGGTGGGCATGGAAACAATTTTCAAGGGCTTAGAACGTGACTGGATGAAAAGGTTAATGCTTTGGAGTGCAAGGGGATAATAACAAAAGAAGGGGAAGCAGTGCCCCAGTTCTCACCTCCAGCGATGAGCCTGGCTTCTTTTTCAGCTCCTCACATTTCCTAAATTTGCAGATCTGGTGGCCCGTTTTGCGGTTCCGACAACTGCTGCAGACACCACAGTTGATTAGCCGCCTGCAGGGTGCACAGACCCCACACCTTTTCCTTTTCTTCTTCGCTGGGTTTCCACTGGATGCTGAGGAATTATTCTGTGGGCAGTCTGCCAGATTGGCAATTTGAAACGCACTGTCTGTAACGGCTGCTGAGGCTGCGGGGGAGTGAAGGGCTGTCATGACGATGACCCCGGGAGGTAATGAGATGCCCCCTAAAGCCGGAATAGCGGAAAAAGTTCCAACGCGTTCTGGGAGATTCATTATCTCTGCTTCAGCAGCGCCGCATTTCAGCTTGTTCATGCATTCTCCTGCTAAAGGTCTGCAGTGTTCGGGGGATAAGGTAGAGAGGAAATTATTATTTGCCATTTGCAGCGTCTCTGGCGGCACGCCAGGCTTTCCCGGCCTCTGGGAGTCATTTCTATGCATGCTGGTCCTATTAGGGTTTATTGCCGCTGATTTCCTCCCCCAGAGCATGGCGTTATCACAGTTCCAAGGGGACATGCCAATTCTCGCACTGGGAAAAATGGGCGTTGTGATGCGAGCAATCTTAGCAGTCTGCGGAAATGCTCCATTTGTTTTATAAAAGTTTGCAAAAGACCTGTACCTTTCCATTTCGGCATTATAATCCAAAAGCTGGCTTAATCCACCATCCTGAAGATTATCCTTTTGTAGCAGAGACACCTCTGCATTCTGTCCATTTTCAATGCACAACGCATTGTTTAGGTTAGACATGGCTGTGGAAGGCTGGGCACTGTCTACGAGAAGAAGCTGAGGTCACTGTAGCCTTTGTCCAAGGTGAAGCTGGTTACAAACCCTCTGATACCATCCTGGTTTACCTCCTCCAATGCTAGAACAGACAAAAACAAAAGTTAACCACAAAACAAACTTAAATGTAATTTTCAATGTAATCATTTTCCAACTTCTATTTCCTGCTGTTTACAGTGAAACATTTGAAAATATCTCTGGCCCATTTTATTCTTTGACGTTGTGTAATGAACATATCAGGATCTTCATGTGTTGACAGCTGCATGATAAATGTGACAGACCGGCGTGCTGTGTTTATAAAAGTGAAAAAACAACTGCGATTGAAAAATGCCACAATTTCAAGATGTTTGAGATATCTCGTCAGTAGATATTACCAAATTATCATATTTCAATTCAAATTCCTCAAATTATTTCACCGCATTTATTTTATTTTGCAGTTTGCTAAAGTGTCAGAGAAGCCCCACTACTGGTAATGGCCACACACATAAGGTGGCAGAGTAAACAAAGGGGAGGCCTGCATATTACACTGACCAGCCTCTCCAGTGCACCTGCTGTTCATTCAGAGCCTCCCTCCCATTTACTCAATGACAGCAGAGATAGCCAGTGGAGGATTTACATTAACATCATGGAGCAGAGCCTGGACAGATCCTGCTGCCCCCAGAGCATGTGCGTTTAGTCGGTGCGTGTGTGTGAGCGTGAGGGGAGGGCGGGGGGGTCCATTTCCTCGCCTCTCTCTCTCTCTCTCTCTCTCTCTCTCTCGAGTCTGTCTGGATTTGGTTTCCGCAGATAAAAGCCCATTAGACACATCTCCCCCTACTTCCATTACCTTTTCTGGGCTTTCTCTCTTAATTGCCAAAGCTGCTCCATTGCTGGAACACTAAAGCATTTCAAATCACTTCCACGGTGATACTCGACGACTGTCTCGAAAAAATGAATTATAAGTATGCACATGGACAACAGGCAACAGTAGCGTAGTCGGGGTATTCTCAAAAGTCTTTTCAGAATAGGCTCCGCTACAAAATAATCATCTGACTTTGGTGGGAGGTTGAAGTGTTGCAAAAATACAGCATCCACTTCTGAAGGAGATAACTGGCTTCAATTTAGACTATCGAGGAGAAGTTTGTCTCGAAAAAACGGAGAAATCAAGTGTAAACCAAAAAATAAATAGACTTATTGTCAAAATATGTTAAAAAATAGGAATAACTTGCATGAACAACAGCTGGAAAAATACGACAAAAAGATAAAAAGGCAGAAAATACAGAGGAAAGAGTATCAAAACATAACATGGTGCACTGTAACAAGCAACAGGGTAAACGCTGTCTCAAACTAACATGAGAATATCAAAGCTTACCTGCAAATTAATTAAAGCATAACTAATGAAAAATGCGTTTAGAAAAAGCTTTAATTAATCCATCTATGACATTGGTTATTACATGGAACTATACCTCAAAATGATAAATGACAATATTTCGCAGCATCCACAGTAGGTGCTGGTTCAATGTCAATGTGGCATCCCAAACCACCCGCAGCCACAGTAAACAAAACCTCCTCATCTTAATGATCAGCCCTCCTCGGGTCATTATTACTTAATCAATGCACCCCTGGAGCGAAATGCGCAGCCCAAAGGCAATCAAGTCACGGACATTGATTTTTCAGCCTGTAAACAAAGTTTAGAGAGACAGAAATGTTCAATACTTTGAGCTGCATGGCGAGAGACAGGGACGACACGGAGGAGAGATGGATTGAGGAAAGAAAAGTAGAAAAAAAAAAAAAAAGAGGATAAGCCATTGTGCCGAGGCTGCTGCACGGTGCCATTAATTACACCGTGGTAGACATTCAGATCAAAGGTCATGCGCACGTAAGCCGGAGAGGGGACAGCGGCGTAATAGTGCAAATAAAAGGCGATAAAATTCACCTTCAAAAAAGCAGGACCACTTCACAGCACAGAAACACCCAGGGACGAGTTAAAACGAAATGAAAAACGACTTAAAAGCCAAAACAAGGACGGAAAACAGACGCAGACGAAGCAGGAGAGTAAGCGGGCAAAGCGGCGACTACTTACCGGGGGGGGGTTCCTGATGAGAAGAGCTCCAGAGATGCTAAAAGCGTGGCACCGTGGACCGAGACATCACTGTGAATTGTAAATGTAAAAAAAAATAAATATAAAGCCAAGCCGGAGAACAGCGAAGACAAAAACAGGTTTAGTTGGCGCTCAAGACAAAAGAAGCATTTTCCCGACTTTCGCGACTCGTTGGAAAAGGGTCCGCAAAGTACAAAAGAACTAAAGGACCGCCAAAAAGGAGCGATGAGAATGAAAGAGATGAAAGTCCGATTCGCGGGTTCTCGTGTGCGTCTTTATTGTGTGGCTGTACGTGACTGTGAGCTGCGCCTGGCTGCCTGTTTTGCCCGCTCGGCTCTCTCCGCGCAGCCCGTGTCTCTTGTCGCTGTGTGTGGCTGATTGGCGCGGAGGTGAGGAAGCTGGGATGCGGACACCTACTGATCATTGGCTGGAAATTACTATAGAAACACACGGGAGGAGATGTGGGAGCCGGGGAGGCGGGCCCAGGGCGACCCACGGGGAGAGAAAAACACGTCTACGGGAAAATTACGCACGGCACGTCCTCGGCTCCGCTCCACTTAGGAGAGCGAGAATTTGTAAGAGTTCGCGGGGTTAGGCTGGGTTAAACAGTTAAAAGTGTAGAGCATGGAAAAAACGACGGAAGGGTTTGGGGTTATGCTTTGGCAATGTGTGAACTTGTACAAAACGGGCTGTAGACTTCTCATTTTGGTCGACAATGTTCGTTTCCTTTGCCAAACAGCGTGTAAAAACGTATCATTCTCAATAATATAGTCTATTTATTATTATTTTGTATATTAAGCAGCTCTGGAGTTTGCAATTACAACCTTATAATCAGTTTTTATTTTGTATTTTTCTGTTTCATAATAAGATGACAGGTCCTATATTACGCAAAATTGTCTCTGGTGAACCTACCTCAAGTTGTATTTGTTTAATTCACAGATGTTTGAGTGATCCTTTATCATTAGTCTGTCTACATCTTCAAAGCTCAAAATGCTCAGTTCCACCTTGTGATGTCATGAAGCGGTAGTTTTCAAGTTTAAGGCGTCCTTTTAGCATTTGTTCAGTAGAGACTGGCAAATCCAGGGCTGAAATCATCCAAATGATTCTGCTGAAGGTGTATGGAGTTTAGAAACTGTTTTCTGTTTGAGGGAAGAACTCAGTCAAAATATGCAGAGCTGAGTTAAACGTGTGAGAATGAAACAGAACATAACTCCAAGTATGTTTTTTCTTCGATGAGGAAACAACATTATAACATACGTAGATCAGAAAATAGCGTAATATGGGCCCTTTTAGTTGTCCCATAGACAGGCAGAGTCACATTGTTTTGTAGTTTTCTTTCTCTCGCCGATCTTCAGAGATTCTACAGAGTTATTCGGTTTGAGTCAGCAATAACCAGCACAGTGACTTTGTTATCAGCTGACCCTTACCTGCGCTAGAATGATTTAAAGTACGGGTCAAAAACAAAAAAGCTTAGGGGCAGTTTATCTTAACACAAGTGACAGAAATGCTTACTCAGGAACATTTTGCACATTATAATCTCCACCAGTTACGGCGTACCGTTTTTAATTGGCTTCATAATCTTTCATTTTGAGGATGACAGCCTGAAACTTTAGGGAAGTCCTGCTCTATGCAACTTTCCTGGAGAAGAGTCACCAAGCCGCCTGTTTTTCTCCATTGTTACTGATTGGCTTGGATTTTCCACAGTGTAACATTTAACAAAAAAAATTCCATTTGTATTTATTTCTTAAAGGATCACCTGGGCGTCTCCCGCGGGAGGTGTTCCGGGCTCGTCCCACTGGGAGGAGGCCCCGGGGAAGACTCAGGACACGCCAGAGGGACCATGTCTCTCGGCTGGTCTGGGAATGCCTTAGGGTCCTTCCGGTGGAGCTGGAGGAATTGTCTGGGGTGAAGGAAGTCTGGGAGTCCCTGCTTAGACTGCTGCCCCTATGAATAAGCGGGGAAAAAATTGATGGATAAATGGAAATTAAAGGGACAATGCCGACTAAAAGATAAGATAATGCAAAAAAACATGTACTTGTAAATATGCAGGATTGTAACCAAAGCTTAGTCACCTATAAAGAAGTAACAGGTCAGATCTGTGGAGAGGCAAGACTGCATCTCTTCAAGGTATATTTTAGCAATAAAAACATTTATAACTGAATAACTGCGAGATAGATGAGTTTAATGCAATTCTGAACATACCCACACCAGAAAAGTTTCGTAGTCCATCTTTAATTTCATGAGCACATTTCCGTACAGTACGAGCCCGTGATATTGAGTTGTGTTTAGGATGTGTGTTGAAGCGTGTAGTTTATAGAGGCACAAGAGGGAGGGGGCTGTCATTTGCTGCACGCGTCTTTTAATAAGGATTGGGGGAAACTTGTCAAATTAATTTGAATGGAGCTGAGCCGTGATTAAGATAAAATGCCTCCGCTCGCCTGTACCCCCCCCTTCTTCTTCTTCTTCTTCTTCTTCTCCTCCTCCTCCTCCTTCCTCACTCTCTCTCTCCCGTCCTGCGACAGCCATAATTACCAAAACCTCCAGGATTCATCACCATTAGAAGTCCCGCCTGCTGCCCACCCATTGCCCATATTTGGCTCCCACAGGCTCACAGTGAACATTCAGCCCGGTCTGAGTTGCTCTGTGCTCTCATTCATGTCGATGCAAGCCTGCAGTTATGGTATAAAACTCCAGGATTATTGCAGCCCTCACAGAGCTTATCTGTAAAGCTTCAGGGTACACTTTGGAATAAAGTAAACATGTCACCATCACCTCAGAAACACCAGCCACAGCTAATTGTTAATTATGCACCCTCATAGATTCTGTTAGACACACTTTATGTCATCACCGGTCTGTAACTATAGTGGAACAAGCTCATTATTGACTCATTACAGGCCACTCCCATCACGTTAGCATGAAACATCTGATAATTTGCTGTTAAATACAGTATTTTTAATTGTTTGCTTGTTTGCAAATTAAATTGAAAATTACATTAGAGTTATTGCTTTTAGTTTCATAATAGGATCATGGCTGTTCATTGCTCTTTATTCTATATTACGCAAAATTGACTCTTGAGAGCTTTAAGAAATTTTGTTTTATTTACACATTTGAGTAACCTTGGTTTATTCGTTTGTCTACATCTCCAAAGCTCAAAATGCTCTGTTCCACCTTGTGATGTCATGAAGTGTTAACAGCTCCTAATTACATTTTCATTATTTGAGTTTGGATTTTCCAGCGAAGAAATGATCCAAATGATTCTCATGATCAAGGGAATGGAGAATGAAACAAAATAAAATTGGTATGTTTTCAATGAGGAAACATTATAACATAGATCAGAAAATAGCACAATATGAGCCCTTTAATAAGGTCAACTTTACTGACATTGGTTTGATATTATTTTAGTAAATCAAAAATATTACCTGTTCAGATATATGTATTCAACATTTTCATCTAGAAGAGCAGATACAGTCACATGGGGTAAGTAAACCTTTTTTTTTTCTTTTCAAATGATATACTGTATTTTCTTAAACGTAATTTAGCTCAGATGATAAAGTTGATGATCCTAGAGTGTAAGTTTAGATCTTGGATGTTTTTTCACTTCAGTCCAGGGGTCTCCAACCTTTTTCTTCCGGTGAGCTACCTACAAAAAAAAAAAATGCCAAAGAGCTACTACTTTTAGCAGTCACAAGAAATTCAGCATATAAACCCTTAGATTTGGAACAATTAGATACCTATAAAACATAAACTTTCATCCATTTATTAGTGCTCAAAATTAGGCACCAAAATGATACATGTACAATGGTAGTTCATCAAATTTGAGTTATTCAGCACAAATGTGTAATTCAGAAGTCCTTTGGCGAGCCACTGGAAGCTCCTGAGCTACAAGTTGGAGACTCCTACCTTAACCTTTTAACGCCAATCTAACAGGTAACAGCAGATACAGAACTGAAACAACCTCTTCCCCCACCAAGACATTCCAAAAGTTCAGTAAAAGTATTTGTGTTTTTCCTTTAAACATTCCATAAACAGACCGACAGTGCTTCTACTTCATATACTCTTGTTCCAGCTAAAAACTTAGAAAATTTTGGTAATCCACAAGGGAAATTATTTGGACATAGGAGCTCACACGTCACGATATAATATAATAACAAAGAGCAAAAATATAAATGGTAATGATAATTTAAAAATAAGAAGCAGAAATAGCAAGAGACTGGCAAAATTTTATACATGTACCATATTTTTCAGACTATAAGTCACAATATCAATAATGGTGAATTCTCTTTTCTATTTTCATACATAAGGCACACCAGATTATAAGACGCAATTCCGATTTTTGAGAAAATTAAAGGATTTTAAGTGCCCCTTATAGTCCAAAAAATATGGTACATGTACAAGTAAAAAAATACAGAAAAAATATAGAACTATAGTAATACAAATACTTCTCAGCTATATACAAGTCAAAGAAGCGTTATTCTAAAATATATGATGACATGAATCCCAGAAAGAATAGTTATTGCTACTGTAAGAATTAACGAGGATACAAAATAAAGAATAAAAAATTAATCCAGGACCTGCTAATTCAACTGCACCATTGACTGTCATTCTAACTCCTTTTGCTTCTTCGTTTAACTTCTTGGTGAAGAAAAAGATCCCAGAACTACCGAGCTTTGTGACTCTTCGACTACAGGCCTTGACACACCAGAACAGGAATAACTCCAAATGTATGAGTTTAATACAATTTAATACAATTTAATCCATCTCCTGAAATGCCGAAGAGAAACAGATGGGTTTAATCAGCACATTATTTACTTTGGTCCAAAAATAGTGATGAATCAGGAGCAGAGTGACAGAACTCATATTTGCAAAGTCGGTGTGGCATTTGAACGCATCCTAAATGGTTATTTTCCCCCACTGCCCTGAGCATACATCCCTGTAAGCGCGTGTGTGCCGAGGCTGCTATCTCTGAAAATGATTTTATCTCGAGGCGGACGATAATAGCCCCCAGGGGAAATCTTCCTCGGTGGTCCTAACCTCTGCATGCTGGATGTGATGGTGCGGCAGCGGGAGCCTCGAACCCTCGTGCAGGCCTTTGTTCCAGGCTGATCTCCCTCCCCAAGTCACTCCGCCTCCTGTCTCCCTGGGCTTTTAGCTCACGCTCAAGTAGTAATTAATAACCATCGCCTAGGATATAAATATAGCCCACATTTAGTCGATGGAGGAGAATCACGGGTGGAACAGGGTGTTTACTGTTTGAGAATCTCCAAAGCACAAAACGCTCGGTTCCAGCTTATGATGTCATGAAGCCGTAGTTTTCAAGATAACAGCTACGGTTTACTTTGTTTTGTAGAGACTTGCAATTCCAGGGCTGAAATTATCTACTGTATTTTTCTGGACTATAAAGCGCACTTAAAATCTTTTCATTTTCTCAAAAATCTTCAATGCGCCTTATAATCCGATGCGCCTTCATGCATTAATTCTGGTTGAGCTTACTGATCTCAAACCAATTTTATGTGGTACATGGCGCTCAAAAATCTGTCAGAATGTTTTAGTACGACTTTGGTTAGCTACGCAGTCACATCGCTTAGTGGAATGTCAGAGCATTGCGGCTACCGAGCCTCGCGGTGTCTGACAGAAGCTGACCGCATTAGTGCACAATGAGCAAGCAGTTTTTTTCAAAGCTTATAGTTTATGCAAATTAGCCATGTGGGTTTAAGTTTTGTTTATGTAAAACTTAAACAAATGTGTGCAAAGCTGCATTAAAGGTTGTATAGAGGATTTTCCAAGGAACGAGAAATCCAGCGACTGTTTGTCCTTTTTCAAATGTTGTGCATGCGTGAAACCACCCCCCCTCCCCTGCAGCTCCCTACGTAGAAACGCCTTCTCCCGCCTCCTCTTTACGCCAGAAACAGGTTTGTTTACAGCCGGTGCACTGCACATGACTTGTAAACAACTAACTACAGTGTTGGTTAGGCAAGACGGAGAAGTGAGGAGCAGGGGGAAGAGCGGATCGGGCAGCGGGGACAGGAGCAGGAAAGGGGTGCAGAGAAGGTTGCGCGAGATTCCGTGCGAATGAACTAGCTACAACATGCAGCAGCAAGCGGACTCTTTCTTTGCATTGAAAATTACGTTTTCAGACATAGGATATCGCTTTCGTGTCCTGAAAAACGTTTGACTAGCTCTTGGAAATAAAGTACGTTTTCATAATAAGCAGAAGTTTCCTGTCCAGGAGTAATTTGGCGACCAGTGCGTCAGTCTTTAGACCCTGTGTCTGCTTCAGTCGCGCCATCGCTGGAATGAATCTTCAAGAATCACCTTAGTTTGGCTTCCCTGCTTTTTCCCTTGTCTTCTTCTTTCAGTGACCTCAAAAACGGACTTTCTTTTGCGGCGAACTGCTCCTGGATTCTTGTCTGCCATTGCAACAAACTTTGTGCTAACTGCGAGGAAGATATAGGTCAAAAAAAGCCGCTAAGAACTGTTGCGTTGGTGGAGTAAACAGCGTCTGTGCGGCTTGCGTCTGTGGACTGCGTGACAGGCGTACGTAAGCCACGTACCGGCGGCGCAGGCAAGTCAGTTATGCTAGAAACGTAGGGAGATTGATTGACAGCCTGTCAGCTAACAGATAACGAGGCAGTGTCGTTATCTATTGGCAAATGTTTAGCCCCACCACGTCCAGAGTTGACGAATTTTTATTCTCTTTTTTTTGGTCATCATAATTACAAGGCTACTGCATCTCTATAATGCTATCATTGACAACAATTGACAACTTGAAACAAAAAAAAATCCTCCATACAACCTTTAAATACATTATTACTCAATGTCTATTTGAGTCCTTCTCGTAGGAAATAAAAATCCAATTTTAAATTATCCACCCACATTCACATTCATAATATACATTCCTCAAAACAGGGAGACAACGCCGGGCAAATTACACAACGATCTGCCAA